TATATTAAATACAATAGAGAAAAGAATACTAGTGTAAGCATCCAAAGAGATGAGAGTTGGGTTTTGTGTCTTCCTTGAGAAGCTGGTGTTCAAACAGACTTGCAGGAGATGAGGGAGCTAGATGTTAGAATATCTGTGGAAAGAGAATACACTTCCAATGCTCCAAGCTAGAGCCTGTCTGGCATGTTCAGGGGCATTGTGGCTAGACTGGAAACAGTAAGTGGCAGGGGCCAAAGGGAAGTGAGTGTATCTACTGCCTCTACAGTCTGCCATCAATCACCTTTAGCACATTATGATCCTTCCACAGCACCTTCTCGGTCTGCAGGAACAATCAACTCAGAGTCAAATGCGTGGAGAAATGTTTCCTGAGCTGTCCACATATCATTTGCATCCCCTGGGTTCTCTTGGTTTTTAAGGTTTGTACTCTATAGCGTTAGGGATTAAAGCCTTTCAAGGACAGAAAGTTTACTTACCAAAGAAATGCTCTTTTAGCAGCCTTTAGTTTCTCTTGTGTGATGAGAACACCATTGAGTCACTTTCATTTGATAAATACACATTTGTGATTTTTGAAAAGATATCCTTTGTTATAATGTAATGTTAAAGAGATATATTGGACAAATTCACATATGAGTTTGTGGTAAAATAGGACATATGAGTTTGTGGTAAAATTGGAATTCTGGTATGAGTAACTGAATTTTGGGAAAATATACCTTCACATATCCTTTAGTATAAGCCAAATGCCACCTGTCTGGTTTTCGTGGCCCTCCGTGGTTTCTTACCTTAAACCCTGGCCCAGCTGTCCTTCTCTTTAGTGTCAGCCTGTAGGACAATTATCTCCCAACCTAAATATCAGAAAGGGAGACAGAACATGAGAGACTCCTAACTCTGGGAAACGAACTAGGGGTGGTGGAAGGGGAGGTGGGTGAGGGTGACTGGGTGACAGGCACTGAGGGGGGCAGTTGATGGGATGAGCACTGGGTGTTATTCTATACATAGGCAAATTGAACACCAATAAAAATAAATTAAAAGCCAATAAAAATAAATTAAAAAAATTTATCTCCCAACCTGGTCCCATCCACCCTTGTTACTGTGGATATTTTAGATGTTTAAATAATACTGGCTTTATGTGTCTTTAGAATAGAAGGCTCTCTGCATTGCTGGCATTGGGACACCTCCTTCTCCACCTTTTCCCAGCACTTCCCTAAGTGTTACCTGTGTGGGAACATTTAGTCAGTAAAGTTGTTACCTGCTACTTAAAAGGCAAGCTATTTGTCCAATAAATTTGCAGTTATTTAAAAGAGAGACCAGAAAGATGCAGTGGTTTGGTTAGCATCCATTACTATGATTTCATTTGGTAAAATATTAATGGGTTCATGAGGGAAATGGCCACTTTGTGACAGTAGAAAGGAAAGGAATCCTTACAGTACAGAAATTTGATTTTTAAAGTTAGCTATAAAGGTGGGGGAATCTGTGAAATAGATGAAGGGGATTATGAAGGAAAAACTTCCAGCTATAGCATAAATAAGTGATGGGGATGAAGAGTACAGCATAGGGAGTGTAATCAGTAATGTTTTAATAACAGTGACATGATGATGGCACTTACTGTTTGGAAGGAATGACCCTAAGGTTATGAGACATGGAAGGGATGGAGTCTGAGTTCCTGACTGCCCACATTGGACTAGGGCATACATGAAAAATAAAATTCTATTTTATGAAGTCATGGACATTTTAGTGTTGTCTTGTTGTTGTTGTTGTTTGTTTTGTTTTGTTTTGTCATAGAAGAAACCCTACCCTGACAAATAACATGGATAATAAGTTTTGTTTGATTATTATTTGTTTCTTTGTTTTAGTGGTAGGTACATGTTTTATCAGGATTTGGTAAGAGACTAATTAAATAAGAATTATTATAGGGACTGTAGCTTTAAGGATTTTCAAATTGAGTTTTCATTTTTAAGTAATAGATCCAGGTAAAAGTGGCATGATGAAAGTATCATCATTGACTGATTTATAACAAAATGCTCATAGAGTTCTTTGAATTTTATTAGACTTAATGGAAAATAGATAACTATTTTAAAATAGTTAGAGAAAAATAAAACCACATCTCACATTCCATAAAAAATATAGGCTAATGTACTACTGATCAGTATATCTTATGTCCCAAAGCTCTAAAAAATTCTATCATATTTCTTATAATTTTTCACTGGAATAGTGATGTGGGTCTTCTATTCCTAAATCCATATTGTCCTCATGAAATTTACATGGGAAATGGACAGACGCTAATGGAAAAGGGGCCTCTCAGAAGATTCGGGGGAGACCATCCTACTCACAGTGTGCACCCAGGGTTCTAGAAAATACATAATCCATTTTTCCAAAAACATTATAGGTATAGACAGGAAAGAACATATTTTGCATTTCCAAGTCCTGCTGCTTTAGATGTAGGAGCAGAATGGGGTTGGGATAGTTCAGGTTCAAGGCCTACCAGAAGACAGTAGTGATTCAAGATCAACAGGTGAGACCCAGAAGGTTCCTTGCAAATTCACAACATCATTTGGTGAAAATAGCAATTCAATATCTCAGCAGACATTAGCTAAGCTCCCATTTGGCAGGTGGCAGGCTAGACCCTGTGTTGACATCCCTAAGCAAGACAGAGGGGGTTCTTGCCCTTATGATGCTCACAGTGCAGAAAATTCAGGTGTGATCCAGCATTCAGAGTGTGAGTAGACCCCTGAAGTGGGGAGTGCAGGGCAGTTTGGCCCTGACAGTTGTGCCTGCAAACATTTCAAGAGTCAGATGAGTCTAACAAGACCACAAAGCTCAGGCAGGCCACATGGTTCTGGGGAAATAGGGGTAGTAGGGTGGAGGGGTATTAAATACAGAACATAAAAGAGAATAGACAGAAGGGAGGAGAGAGAATTGAGAAATTAAGTTGGAGTTTAGTAAAGAATAAATTAAAATATGATTGATCTAAACACCCAGAAATGACACTTTTTGAGTCAGAAATTTGCAAGTACAGAGAACTTGCTCAATCAACACTTTCTATCTGAGCCAGAAAGAATCTGTTCTTAAAAATTATGGAAATCATACTTCTGGTAGGATGAAGAAAAGTGAAGGTGAAGCAAACAAGGAAGAATCACAAAGAGAAACCAAATGTGCATTTTTTATCTGTACAGTCAACATGAGCCACCAGGCTGTAGGCCTAAAGTTTGCCAAGCTGTGCATAGTTTGGATCTCAGTTTCTTTATACTGAAATAGTATCTGCTTTGGTAAGTGGATAGCGCAATGGGGACAATTTTGCCAGGCCACAGAGGAGAAGAGCAGCCAAGGGAAGACAAGGAACTGATACAAGAAGGGGACAAATCCTCCTTTAACCCTTAACTGGCATCATCTGTCCAAGTCAGTGAACAGGATGTGGGATCCTGGGGCTTTGAGTGTGAGGAGGGCGTTGGAGTACCCAGGATCCCTACCAGAAGATGGAGAACTGAGGTGGGGATATGTGGGGAGGAGAGAGACACCATGGTTACTCTAACAAGAATCCTCTGCCCTTGGGCTGCAGGGCCTCAGAAATGTTCTTGATGGGCAGGATATACAGTTTTTCTAGTCAGAAACATCTTCACTGATTCTATATTTTTTAACATCATGGTAGAAAGCTTTAAAAACCATAAAATAACATTATATAGTGTAATGTAGAAACAGGGCTATTGAAAGAAAGAAAAGAAAGAAAGAAAGAAAGAAAGAAAGAAAGAAAGAAAGAAAGAAAGAAAGAAAGAAAGAAAGAAAGAAAGAAAATGAACACTCACATATGTTAGGTGACATTTATCTCTTTTCATTCCTGACATTTTATAGCTTAGTTGCCTTGCTCTGCCATTTCATGGCTGATTATTCACCTCACTTGGATCACATATTCCCACTTGTAACTCTTTTCCTAATCACTTAATAAATAGCTTCATCTGGATTATTTTCGGAGAGGCGTGAATGTGGGTATATGTATGCTTGTGCACGTTCATGTGGTTCTGTATGTGTTCATATGAGAAGGACATGACGACTTTCCCTCCTAAAGAAGAATGCAAATTCTCCAAAGGGAGGCACTGTGTATCCTCTCATTCCTTTTCCTGGTACATATTAGGGCTGGCTGCACACAGTGGGTCCTTAGCAAAAAATAATATGATCTGAGCTATGAGGGTGGAATCTGTGTGGGTTATTCTGTGAGTGTGTGGTTACTTACAACAAATGTGCCTCCTTGTGAGTGCGTATCTACATGTGTTAGGCATCTAGAAGGTAAAATGAGTGGAGAAAACCAGAATATCAGGTTCACAAATGTAGGAGTAATTTTGGAGTAATAAACAGGAGCCTTATGGGCAGAGTACTAAGGATGAGAGGTAGCTTGAAGAAGGCACACTGGAACTAAGGCATGACAGGCCAGTGCCAGAAGACAGCCCTGCTCCAGAACGATAACCTTTGGGTTCCATTATAAAACAGCTATTTCCATTTCAGGGATGCCCCCTAAATATAACCATGTGAACGCTCATAGAAGCATATGGTATCATGATTAGATAGATAATATTTACATTAACTCCTCTGTCTATAGGTCCTACTCACTACGGTAGAATGAAGAAAGGGAAGATTTAGTCAATAATACAGTCAGGAGTGGAATTAGAAGTTATTTAATGGGAACAGAGCAGGAAAAATGGATCCTTCCAACCCAGATTGCCTCTTCAGATGAATCTTGAGGAACTGAGGATCAGCAAAGCCATTAAGGCCTGCATAATTCAGAGGCTCAGAAGACTCCTCACAGTATGTAAGGGAAAGTGTCATAGCATATATTTTTATGATGCAAATAAGAAAGAGGCTATAACTTAGGATAAGAATGTACTGATTATAAAATATATGCAATGAAGACACAAAAGCAGAAGGAGAGAAAGTAGTCAGCATCCAGTGGTCAGTTCCTCAAGAGCATGGCTCCTCAAGGGTGTGGCTCCTCAAGGTCATGACTAAGGACCACATCAGTTCTGCTTGGTCTTCTGGCCTAGAATAATGGTTGAGGGACTTGGCTCTGGTACCTTGGTGTAGCCAGGCTGAAGGACCTCAGAGTAGGCTGGCTCAGGGACCTTGATGTGACCTGATTCAGGAATTATGGGATGGCCTGGCTCAGGATGTTTAGGGTAGTTTGGTTCAGGAAGTTTGGTGTTCCCAGGTTGCGGTAACTTGGTGTCGCATGGATTCTTGGTTATGGGAACAAATGGCTCCTGAGGTGGAGGCTGGCAAGTCTGTTTCACCTGTTGCTGCTGAGGTGGGGGAGGAGGGGTGCAGGGCTGCTTCTGCTGTTGGGAACTCATGCTTCACAGGAGGCTGGACCTGCAGACAGAAAACCAACTCAGTGGTTTGGTAAAACAAAGAAGCCAAGTTCAATGAGTAATATGTCTTATTTCATGATCTTTCAGAAATAAGAGACTTTCTGTTTTCATGATTTTGAGATTGAAGGAAACTTTGGTAGTTATCATACACTTTCAGGAGGAGAAGCTTATAGTGATTTACTCTGCTCCATGGAAGTGGAATGTTCTTTTATGCTTTGGAAGGTTTTTTCATTCTACCTCTGCTTGTTCACACATGCTCACCCATTACGGCTCTCCTTTTAGATACTTTCTGCTAGATTCCAAATCATCTTCTTCACTTTGCCACAATACAAAGCTGCCTTGTTCTCTCTACTAATTGCTTTCCATGCAGTGTGTTTGCAAATTATGCTCTCTGATGAATTGTCAATTCATGGAGTAAAAAAAAAAAATCATATCTTTTAAACATCTAAATTGCCAATACAGTGCCTTCAATATTGCAAATTCTCAATAATTACTATAGGGAGTATTAAAATATCACTACAACTGCCCTGGACATGGGCTGTAGTTCATATCTTCCTGCTAACTGAACAGGTGGTCGACAGAAGCCTCTCCCCTTTCCAAGTTCCATGGCTGTAATCTGAGAAGTCAAAAAAGATCTATCAAGTCATCATAAACACAAATTGCATTGCATTTAAAGTAAATATATCCTAGCATCGCAAAGAGATCCCAATATAAATAAAATACTATCACGCAAATACTGAGAAAATCCAAGTGGAGAGACTCACTAGGCATGCAGAGAAGTTTGAGCTGACAGGCTTCTCAGGTCTGGTGGGGAGTCTCTGGCCAGCTGGCACTTTATACAGAATATGATGAGCCTTGCCTTAAGGAAGTGGGAGTTTTTAGGGCTACTCTATCTTCATTCCAGCTTTTGTAATGAAAATCTCTGGCTTAACAATTTTTTGGCACCTACCATTTGACAATGAGGTCACCTGGGCCTGCCCTCACTGTCCATCCTTTTTGGTGAGGTTGTTATGGGTAATAGGATTCTTAGGTGGAGATGAGTTAAATCAGGTAGAAGTTCTGGGCTTCTGGGAACAGAAACAACCATGTCTCTTGGGCAGGACCCTGATATTTAGCTCAGATTAATTCTGCTTTAGTCTTCTAAGGGAATGTGGAGATGAAGAGCAGGCACTACTGGTTCTTCTGGGAGACCATGGAAAGTTTGGCAATAAGTGAATCATCCCATGTTCTCTCTCTGTCTCAGTTGATCCAGGACTGGGACAGGACAGGAAAGGCTGAGACAGAAATGCTTTGCTCTGGTGAGACCCTTAATATACCATGTTGACCACAGGTAGTAGATATTACTGGGAATGGGCAGTCAGGGTTGATTGGATCTGTCTGACATGGTGCATAGCCCAGAAGATTCTCCCTTTCATGGGCTCTCTCTTCTCTGGAGGCAACACAGGAACAAGACATCTCTGATTTTCTGAATTCATACACCATCCACATCCTCCCATCAGGACAAGGTGAAATGGAGGTCACTAATCCAGACTCGATCTCAAACTAAAATCTCTTCTTAAGCATGACCCTTGGGAAATCCAAACATCCTTACAATTCGGATATGTGAATGGTGTCTCCCTTCCCACTGTCCTACCTCTGTGTTACCTCCCATGAACCTGAGCCCTGAGGCACAGCCACCACCATGAGTGCCTTTCATCAGTTCCCCCAAAGCCTAACTTGTGCTTTATCCTCACATGCTGTTTGGTAGGTGGAGCAAATACTAAGAAAATCCAGGTAATGGGGAGCTACTATTTTCCTTGACCAACGTGCAGATTAATATGAGGGTAGAAGGGAGGAAGAGAGGGAATAAGAGGAAAGAGAAAGAAAACTGGATTACTTTAGAGAGATGTCTATATATTGCTTTGACAACCATAAAGTGATTTCTTGAAAATGATTCATCTTATGATGCCTGATGGCATAGGCTAAGAAGGGGTGAGGGCTCATCATCTTTGCTGCCTGCTTCCTTCTCCACCCATGTTCTTCCCTCTCTCCTAGTATTTAACCAGTCAGCTCCCTCTGGGTTGGTGCCAGTGCCACTGTCACACCTAAACTCTAGTCTCTAGTATCACATTAGCCATCCTCTGGGGTGAGTCTCAGTACCTCTCCTCAACCAAAATCAATATGTTAAATCCTTATCCTTTCCTCTCTTGATCCGGGGTTCCTGGATGCCACAGCATGAAACGTCTGTGGGAATTTTCAGTGCATTTGAGGAAGTGCAGGCTTGGATAGTTAATGCCTGATGGCCACATTTCCCCGTAACTGATAGATAATGTTTCTCTTTTTCAAACCCAGGGAAACCCCTGGGTTTGAAAGACCATTTTTTCATATTTAATAAGTACAATGGAATGAATTTGTACATTACAAACACCTGTGATATTATCACCATAATCAAGAACACAGATATATCCAATACCTCCCATTATTTCCTTCTCTTTCTCTCTCTTTTTCTCTGTCTCTGTCTCTCATTTTGGAGTGTGTGGTGAGAACATTTGACATGAGACCTACTCTTTTAAGTTTTAGGTACACTCTACCGTAGTCTTAACTATTGGCATTACATTGTAGAGCAGATCTCTAGAATTTTTTGATCCAGTATAACTGAAACTTTCATCCACTGAGTAACAATTCCCTGTTTCCCACACTCTCTCATCCAGAAAAAAACACTATTGTATTCTCTGCTTCTAAGAAGTTGATTATTTTAGGTGCCCCATACAAATGGAATCATACAGTATTTGTCCTTTGTGACTGGCTTATTTTGCTTAGCATACTGTTCTTCAGGTTCATTCATGTTGTCACAAATGACAGGATTTCCTTCTTTGAGACCCAAGTTGTGTTCCATTTTGTGTCTATACCACATTTTCTTTATCCATTCATTTGTCAGGGGGCACTTGTGGTATTTCCACATTTTGGCTGTTATGAATAGTGCTACAAGGTCATGAGAGTACAGGTATCTCCTAGAGTTCCTGCCTTGTTAATTTTCCCCATTCTCACTGGTGTGAGGTGGTGTCTCATTGTGGTTTTGATTTGTATTTCCCTGATGGCAAGTGATGCAGAGCATTTTCTCATGTGCGTGTTGGCCATGTCTGTGTCTTCCTCTGTGAGATTTCTGTTCATGTCTTTTGCCCATTTCATGATTGGATTGTTTGTTTCTTTGCTGTTGAGTTTAAGAAGTTCTTTATAGATCTTGGAAACTAGCCCTTTATCTGATATGTTATTTGCAAATATCTTCTCCCATTCTGTAGGTTGTCTTCTAGTTTTGTTGACTGTACACCAGTGAGAATGGGGAAAATTAACAAGGCAGGAAACCACAAATGTTGGAGAGGATACGGAGAAAAGGGAACCCTCTTGCACTGTTGGTGGGAATGTGAACTGGTGCAGCCACTCTGGAAAACTGTGTGGAGGTTCCTCAAAGAGTTAAAAGTAGATCTGCCCAAGACCCAGCAATTGCATTGCTGGGGATTTACCCCAAAGATACAGATGCAATGAAACGCCGAGACACCTGCACCCCGATGTTCATAGCAGCAATGTCCACAATAGCCAAACTGTGGAAGGAGCCTCGGTGTCCATCGAAAGATGAATGGATAAAGAAGATGTGGTTTATGCATACAATGGAATATTCCTCAGCCATTAGAAACGACAAATACCCACCATTTGCTTCAACGTGGATGGAACTGGAGGGTATTATGCTGAGCGAAATAAGTCAATCAGAGAAGGACAAACATTATATGTTCTCATTCATTTGGGGAATATAAATAATAGTGAAAGGGAATATAAGGGAAGGGAGAAGAAATGGGTAGGAAATATCAGAAAGGGAGACAGAACATAAAGACTCCTAACTCTGGGAAACAAACAAGGGGTGGTGGAAAGGGAGGGGGGGGGGTGGGAGTGAATGGGTGATGGGCACTGAGGGGGGCACTTGACGGGATGAGCACTGGGTGTTATTCTGTATGTTGGCAAATTGAACACCAATAAAAAATAAATTTATTATTTTTTTTAAAAAGAATTTAGTTCCTCAGTCATGACAGACACATTTCATGATCTCAATAATGATATGTGGCTGGTAGTTACTGTACTGGACTGCATAGACAGAGAATGTTTCCATCTCCACAGAAACGTGTATAGGATGGCATTGGAACCTGCAAGTGTGGCATGGCTAAGAATGATTCTTTCTCGTTGATTCCTAGAATATTTCACAATAACAAATTCAAGAAAGAAGTCTATTCCTTGATCTCACTTCAAGGAAACTATGAATGAAACCTATTGAAAATGCCACCTCCCATTAGAAGAAGAAGCTTTGAAGAAAATGTGAGGGAAATCTTCTAAAAGGAAGAATGCTTTATGTTTGTTGTGTTTTAGTCCTGCAAGCTTTTGAGACTTTTCTTGCTTTTGGGGAGTGCACTGCAACTAGCTGGATAGAAGCAGCATCACAGGACAACACATCAGCTGTCACTGTGGACATGACTAAGGTGGGCACTGTGTGGGTGGACACTGGGGAGGTGTTGACCTAGATAAGTAGACACTGAAAAGTTAAATACTGACAATCGCAAGATGACTTCTGTGGATTTGTGTAAGGTACAGGATATTTTGGGGTCCGTGTTTCTAAGCACTGGAGGGCGCATGGTCAAGACATGTGGGTGGGATTCCAGGTGGTAGCAATAAAAGCTGCACTGCATCTGCTTTCATTTGAACACTGGGAAGTTCAAAGGAAGCAAGTAAAGGTGTTAGTGGAGGTGAAAGAAACCAGTATTATTGGTTATCATATTATGAGCTGGGAAAGTCTCTAATCTGTGAGGATATTTTTTGATCACCTAAATCTATGATTACAATGAGTGTCTACCTTCTTACTTGGCTTTTATTTTTCTTCTCAGCAATTCGTTCTATATCTATAAAGAGCCTCCATTCTTATGTCATCATTCAAAGAAAATTCTTTTGTGAAACAGGAAATA